AGTGTTATACCATTTAAATGTGTCGGAGTGCCATTTAACCAAAACAAGCCAAGAAAATAAAGATAAATTGAATCTTTGTTTCTGTTTTCGAAGAAGAGATGCGTTGCTAAGTGATTCAGGTTTTTGCGCACGACCCATGTGTCCTTTGGTTCAATTCCTTCATGGGTCAAGGTCACATATGCCATATTATGATACCAGTCCTAATTTAGTCCCGGAAGCAGACTCGTATCATAAATTATTTGTAATTTATCTATAGTATTATGAATATTATCAGGCAGTGATACTTGTAACCAATGGAGTTCCATTATGTTTTAGCTGGACAGAACGCCATTACACTGGGCATGCGCGAAAGGGCACCTGGCGATTGTAGAATTATTGGTGGAAATGGGTGCTGACTTGGAAGCGAAAGACAAGGTAATTTTAAACCATTTATCTGCTGAATGAAAGGTAATAAGGAAGTAGATTTACACTGCTTATAATTCAAAGAATTTCAGTATCAACATAAGAAAATAATAATAATAAGATAAGTAAAACAACGACAAAGAACCGAGCTACCGCCCGTATAGTACCTGGTCAGATATCACAGATGTGCAGGCTGGCCTGACATTATACTGGGTGACAAAGGTTAACCACTTTCGGTTACAGCAGGGTTAAATCAAGGGTTAAGAATGATCTATGTTGATTCAACATGGATTATCATGTTTTCATGTGAGTGGTAATCGAAACACGATGGGTTTGGTTAAAAAAAAATTTGGAACTCATTTGTAACGAAAACCTAAGTCTTTATGTAAAACACCCCAGTTTACTTTCTTGTCTTACATTAGTAAACACCATGGTGGTTCCAACAGAACTCGAACCTTTGGTCTCTGCAACCATGCAACCTTAATACTACACAACCTCTTCCGTCAAGTTTGTTACAAGAGCACACAGTAATTGGCACGATTACACAAATATATCATTCTAATTAACTCTTTACATTGATTCTCCACTAAACATTCAAATTAGGCTGTAAGTAAAAGTGAATAATTGACATTTGCGAATAGTTACCCAGACACCTTTTTTAGTTGGTACAACTCATGTATAACATTGAACACATACTGGTTCTTTTAACATTTCACCAAAAAACTTGTAATATTTCCTGAAATTAAGTTACCAAGAATTCGAGATTTGTACAAAAACAGATACGTTACCATTTTTCCAATTGCTTTCAGAGACTAGATAGAAATAATTAGCATGAATATACACGATTTAGAAATTTATTATCATTCTTTCAGCATTATAGCACCAGTATATATTACAAAATATTATGCATTAATATGCATTTTAAAAAAATCTACGTCTAAGAATAGCTTGTGAACTTAAGCTGATGAAAATGTTACTTATTAATCAGACTTGTTTATTCCAAATACATGAGTTACTTATAAAAGCATTTTAGGCCAATAAAAATACTGATGTTCCATACTTATCTATTGACACAATGTAGCTCGGATTTACTTAACAGTATAAATTTATTCCGCTAAGTGGAAACAAATATTAAATCATAGTAACGTATCTGTTTCACAGTTCTTCTATGAACAAAATAATGAAAAACCCTGAACACATAGATAGATATCCATAAAGTTTTTTAAACAACTGACCAATAAATAATATGTCTGAACCAGTACTTTTAATATTAAACAGAGCACTATATCATTTAAAGTTTTTTTTTAGGTTTTATTGTTTTATGTGTAGCTTCAAATAGTCAAATAACATTGTGACTTTAGGAAACAGATTGAACTTAACAAGAACATTTGAATAAAGACACTCATCTATTAAATGTGTAGCAGCTAGATTAATGCGAGTGTTTCTGACATAGACTAGTGTGAATTGACATTCTGTTGTCTTTTTGGTTCATCTGCTGTTCAATTGTCTTTATTTTTTCTATTTTCTTTTTCTTTATATACTGGTACAATCTCGATCCTTGATTTTGTCATACTTGGTGATATGAGTAAGCCTACATGTATATGCTTATCTACATTTAACAAAATTATATCAGAAACAATGGTACCGCTTAAAGAAAACCAACTTAGTATTATAATAAATCCATATATATGTGCACCTCCAAGATTTTGAGCTATATCCAAATAGTCCATCCCTACCATAGACAGAAAATCTTGATACGACCCTAACTAAAATTTAGAAACTAACGGGCATTCATTTAAAAATACTTTAATATGTTTTTTTTATAAAGTTACAGGGCTGTTATATATTGCCTAACCATATATTACTTATTTAAACCAAAGTTTGTTGAAGATTTAGTTACATATATTAAACAGTACTCAAATCTCATTCGAAACAGATACGTTACTATGATAAACAGATACGTTACCAGAAGTTATACAGTCCTCTACATTTTATTTTTAATCCAAATTTTGCAAACCAAAAAGATATCAACATATATTTATTCCAGGAAATAAAACAGTAAATCTTTATATGTTTCTTTCCTGTTTTTCAACATTTTATTTTCTAGAAAACTCAACTAATCCTTGAATTTCAAATTCCTGATTCACAATTTTAGTTTTCCAATAAAATTGAGATCAACGCATCATTTATTGGCTACACGTACGTTATGCTGGGATTTTTTACATGAAACCATTTCCAAATTGAGCAAAATCGTCAATTAAGATTCAAACAATAAATATTGGTAACGTATCTGTTGGTAACGTATCTGTTGGTCAAAAAACTAAAATATATCAGATATACACACATGTTTGCCAAATATATTGAAATATTAAGTTTTGTAAAGCATATATTTGAATAATGCATAAATGCGATCCTACTTTTAAGTACTGGTAATAGTAAATGTTTCTCAGTGGGATATCAAGGTAACGTATCTGTTTCACTTTAAAGTATAATCCAAATTGCCTCATCATTGCAAAGGCATTGTGGTTCTAGCATGTATATTGTCGTCAAAATTATTTTTGAATAATGAAATATGATAAAACTTGAGTTCAATAGCAAACTATTAATATGTTACAAGTTCATATTACCCTTACTCAGGTTTACCTGAAGTGTGGTAACGTATCTGTTCAATATATGAGGGACATGCATTTCAGCTGGTAACTTTTTTTCAAATTCACTGTAGAAAACAATAAAAATCGCTCACTTAGACATTTAAATTAAAACTTAATACTAAAGCAGTTTTTCTTCAACACATGTTTCAGGTGAAAATATGGAAAACCAACAGTAATATGGGACCCAAGCCTGGGGACATTACATAAAGGGTTATACAGCACCTTTGCATGATAATATTTTCGTATAAATCCAACAGACTAAGTCATTAATTTGAATGCTATACACACTTGACTATGTAATGAAGCAATGGAATGCCCAAAAAGTATTTTTCAACTGCAGTGCAACAAAATATACTCGAGGGACAGAATATTTTTTAATTTGCACGTTTAGTGGAGAATCAATGTTTAGATTATCTCATTTTTTTACACTAATATTTGTATATTAACAACATTATTACATTTATGTAACGTTTATATTCGAAACAATGATTTCCTCCGCATGTACAACAATGTTAAGATAGATATATATTTATGTCATTAAGCTGAAAAACGACATAAGTTTCTTTTCCAAGTTCATTGCACTCGTGAACTATTGAACTTTCCAAGGTCAACAAGGTTAGAAGAGGTGTCTTTTCCCACAGAATCTTAGACAATTATCGATAATGAAGTTGTAATAGAACCTCTATATATCTTAATTAGCCACTTATTACTGTTTCCCCCGATATCTCCGTGTAAACAATTAATTAATTGATGAATGACGTGATTTTTCAAGAGTGTCACGTGTTTGGACAATTTTCAAAATGGTGGCGCCATCTATTGTTCGTTTCAGTATGGCATGAGACCAGTATTATGGGCGGCACTGTACGGACATATTGATATTGTAAGATATCTAGTTAACACCGGCGCCACGGCTACGTGTACCAATAGGGTAAGTATCGATGCTTTAAACAAAGCAATTATTACCTCCATTGGCCGCCATTTTGAGGGTCGTATATTATCTTCCTAAGATAAGATGAAAATCTCTAATAATTCTATCGTCTTCATGAAAAACTTATAAGAATCTTTCACATATAAGTGCTTTAATACTATATTCCCTCATATGTATAAAAGAATTTGACAATTCACCTCGATCAGCTATTAATCAAAATTGACCCCCAAAATGTCTGCCACTTTTTTGCAAGGGAGGTAAATATTATAAAAATCCGGAACTATCCGGAGCTATTCAAAATGCTTGGAACAATTTATTTGTTCCTTGTTTATGATTATGAACATTTTACTATTATTTTTTAACCCTTACTGCTCTAAATTAAATATCTTAAGATAGACTTGTCCATCTTTCAATCTAGACAAAACCATTTATCATTTGTACGGAAACATTTCACTGAACAGCGAACAGTGCAGACAATGATCAGGTGGCGAGAATGTGCTGGCCAATCTTGGTCTGTACTGGTCGCGATGTCAGTATCTGTGGGCGCAACAGGTTATGGGTTCGAGGATTAAGAAACACAAAGGGATGAGAATGACCTTAAAGCTGCATGCCTCCAGATAAGCCATTATGTTAAGAAAATTAACCTTGAGAAAAAGGTACTAGGATTTGGAGAAAAGTAAAAATAGTCACAATTTAATGAATAATATACATGTTATTTGCAATTATTCACTGGTTTTGCAGAATTTATCACTATATTCTTACTGCGTTACTTACGAAGTAACTGTTATTTTATTTTTGCATTCTCTGTCCTATTTTTTTAAAATAATTTTTGTAGAATTTAAGTGCTGTTTGCAATGTGTAAATTTTTTGTTCACTTTTTACAAAAAGAAATCATGAAAATTACCATGAATCTTGAGGCATGCTGCTTGAAGAACTTACTGAAGTTGATTTGGATACTCTATACATTTTTATGTACATAAAATTATATTGTTTTCTTCCGAACCATAAAGAAATTTTGACCATTTTGCCCTTCCATAAATAAAACAACGTATTTTCGTTTTGTGTATCAAAAATGTGTACGTTACGTGTTTACATTGTGTGTTTGCAGCAAGGACTTGGCATACTGCACTGTGCTACACAAGGCAATCATCTGCATGTTATGAACTTCATCTTTGAATCTCTAGAAAATATTGACATTAACTGCACAGAGAAAGTAAGTAAATCTATAGCTTGTACATAACATATCTTTCAGTAACTCTATGCAGCTGTTTATCTATTGATTTTTATCGGGCCGTTTATTTCATTAATATTATCAGGCCTTTTATTGTGCATTTTTATGGGTATGGCCGTAGTTATCAAGTGACCGCTTTGTGGAAGCGGCCTTTATGTCCAGTCCGACTTTTGCGTATCCTTACGCTGTTCGAAAAGGCGAGAAAAACAATTAGATTCATTGTCAGTTTGAATAATGCTTCATTGAACGGAATATACTTCTAAGAAAGATTCATTTTTCTGAAAAAGAGAAAACAAAATCACAAAATTATCAGAAGAGTTATAAGCACTCAATCACACAGACTTTATCCCATACACGCTCTTGTGTCAAATAAATGATTCCGCTAAAAGCACAAGCAGAACAAAATATTTTCCTTTAAACACATTATTTCTCATTTATGAAATTATTTAAATGCATTATAGATAGCTAATAAATTCTGATTTGTTTTGGTTATTGTCACCTGCTTCCTGCCAATATGACAAAGTTTGTCACAAATGCACGAACATTTCACAACCATTTTATATCTATTTTTGTCTCCTCTGTGTATAAACACTCGTTTGGAGTATCAGCATTTAAGAGTGATCACACATGTTGAAATGACGGGAGCACCCATGTTCATATGTGTGATCGATAAGATATTTCAGTGATACGTTATTACATTTCAATGAAGCATAAATTCATGTCAGTAAAGCATCATTACATTTCAGTGAAGCATCATTACATTTCAGTGAAGCATTATTATATTTCAGTGAAGCATTATTACATTTCAGTGAAGCATCATTACATTTCAGTGAAGCATTATTATATTTCAGTGAAGCATCATTACATTTCAGTGAAGCATTATTATATTTCAGTGAAGCATTATTACATTTCAGTGAAGCATCATTACATTTCAGTGAATCATCATCATTTCAGTGAAGCATCATTACATTTCAGTGAAGCATCATCATATTTCAGTGAATTATCATTATATTTCAGTGAAGCATCATCATATTTCAGTGAAGCATTATAGCATTTCAGTGAAGCATTATCACATTTCAGTGAAGCATCATCACATTTCAGTGAAGCATCATCATATTTCAGTGAATTATCATTATATTTCAGTGAAACATCATCATATTTCAGTGAAGCATTATAGCATTTCAGTGAAGCATTATCACATTTCAGTGAAGCATCATTACATTTCAATGAAGCATCATTACATTTCAGTGAAGCATCATCATATTTCAGTGAATTATCATTATATTTCAGTGAAGCATCATCATATTTCAGTGAAGCATTATAGCATTTCAGTGAAGCATTATCACATTTCAGTGAATCATCATTACATTTCAATGAAACATCATAACATTTCAGTGAAGCATCATTATATTTCAGTGAAGCATCATCACATTTCAGTGAAGCATCATCAAATTTCAGTGAAGCATCATTACATTTCAGTGGAGCATCATTACATTTCTGTGATGCATGATCACATTTCAGTGAAACATTATCACGTTTCAGTGAAGCATCATTACATTTCAGTGAAGCATCATTACATTTCAGTGAAGCATCATTTTATTTCAGTGAAGCATCATTACATTACAGTGAAGCATCATTACATTTCAGTGAATCATCATAACATTTCAGGGAAGCATCATTTCATTTCAGGGAAGCATCATTACATTTAAGTGAAGCATCATTTCATTTCAGTGAATCATCATTACATTTCAATGAGACATCATTATATTTCAGTGAAGCATTATCACATTTCAGGGAAGCATCATTACATTTCAATGAAACATCAATACATTTCAGTGAGAATCATGACATTTTAGTGAAGCATAATTACATTTCAGTGAAACAACATCATATTTCAGTGAAGCATCATCATATTTCAGTGAAGCATCATTACATTTCAATGAAACATCATAACATTTCAGTGAAGCATCATGACATTTCATTGAAGCATCATTACATTACAGCGAGACATCATTACGTTTCAGTGAAGCATCATCATATCTCAGTATTATATTATTTCAGTGAATCGCTATAGTATATATATCTCATTACCATGGTATCTAAGTGAAGCATCGTTACATATTGAACACAGAAAACGCAATCGGTCCCATTTAACATAAAAAAACCCTCCTTTAATACTACTTTCATTTGATTTTTACTTGTTTTACAACATAATTCAAATTTCAAAATTATTTACAGTTCATATCTGCATGAATTTACGATCTCAGATTTTTCATCTGAATTATTAATAACGTTTAGCGTTCAAACAAATTCAAATACTGTTGCTACGGACTCATTCTATGGTTAGATTCGAATTTTACTAGTTTTGTATGCATAAACTCAATCGAGCGGTTAGCACAAAATGGACCGTTTTTTGTCCCAAGACCCCGGAGTAAATTTTTGGATGTGTCATCATAAATCAATGCTTTTTATATTTTTTATTAATTTTTAAAAAAACCCCTGTTTTTTATTTAAGGGGATTTCCCCATTTTAAATTTGGAAAAATTTCTTTGAAAATGAAAGGGGAATTCATTATCAGAGTACAAAAAAATGCGCTACCAACGGTATAGAGTCCGGTGAGCCTGATCAGACCACAGAGGTGTGCAGACTTGGCTGGTTCTAATTGTAGCGGCAAATGCTTATCATTTCCAGTTTTAGTAAGTTATAAAAGAGAAGCTTAAGCACGAACTTGTATCTAATAGCTTGAGTGGCTTACGGAAGGACCAGGGTCTAACGAGTATCAAAAGACTTCTACTGTTTAGAATGTTAATGAAACAAGTAATCGCAAGGGAATGCACACGTTATAATACATTTACTCCCAGACGGGGTACATATTGAATTAGGCTCGCAACACAGGGTACCAGTGATTTCGTTTATCAACTGTGGTAAAATCACCGGAAATAAGTCAATATTCAGATAATTATTCAAATGACAATGCATTTTTACAGCAATATTATTACGCGGTAAAACACGATTCTAGATCTGTAATATGACCCATAAAGCGCTTTAGATCAATCAACTTTATTTCCGATTTGCATCATTTGTCAAATTGAAATCCTGACTGAGAATACTCTCTTTTTTATCAATATTTAATAAATCCGATCCTATTTCGTGTAGGAACTATTTTATTTTTACAATAATTGCCCGCGATTCTATAAGCTCTTTCTATGTCAGGCTTTGTGAGTGATAGAGCATATTTATTATTACTAAGGAAATAAATTATCAAGGGACGTAGTTAAATTCCCTCGCTTATCTTAAACGTCACATGAATGAAGCTGAATGAGGATTGGTTACTTTGAAAATTTGTAATTTGCCGGAAGTCATGGTAATGAGTCAGCGTTCATATTGATTATTTGTTGCTGTGACTTTTTTCACAGTGACATATCCTAACTTCAACAGTATTTATTTTTTTATTATGAAGAACTTGCCATGAGAAGATAAAACCTTGATTTTTTTTGTACATTTTAGAATGACAAGACGGCACTACATATCGCTGCGGAAGAAGGTCATTTACATGCGGTTATGAGGCTAATAGACTTGCGCTGTGATATCAATAAACGAGATGTTGTAAGTCACGTGATTTTATCCTCGCCAGTTTCTTACCAATCATTGTTGAGGTAGCACTATATTACAAAATAAAATAAAATAAAACAAAAAAATTTTGATCGAAGAAATGCAGAGTTTGAGAGTGTTTGTTTTTGTAGACCTTTTACAGGCAATTCTTAATTAAGGAACTTATTTAGCTTATTGCATCGTTTCGAGTTATTTTGAGATTTTGAGATCATAAATTAATAAATCACATGCAATGTAATGTATTTATTCAGAAAGATTAAAAAATCAAACTGTATCATGAACTATTCCAGGACTGTTGTTCAGCCTTACATTTGGCGGCTAAGAACGGTCATCACGAGGTGGTCAAACGTCTGCTCATGGTGGGCGTTAACGTCGATGACAGGGAAGGGGTAAATAAATTTTTCATACATATATTATGTATAGGTTAGAGTGCATATTGGGTGTTCTTCGTAAATAAGAAAGCTAAAAAGGAGCGGAGCTTGCGAAGCGACTGTAGCTTTCTTATTTACGAAGAACATCCAATATGCACTCTAACCGGCTTAGTGCTCCGCCCATTTTTTACCGCCCAACACACTGCGTGACGTCACACGATAGCCTAAATGTGTATAACCATATTTGGAAGAGGTAGCGGTACACATTTTCGGGTCACGTGTTTTGCATAGCTTATTCCCGCATTCTGTCTAGGTAAATCAGACAATATCACGGTGCACATCCATATCGGTACCCTCTTTGCGAAATATTCTCAAACGGTACCCTCTTTGAACATACACAGGTCATTCTCTGCTAAAAACAAATCAGCGATGGATAACAATGCAGTAAAAATTCATTGTAATAAGAAAAGGAGGTTATGACCACGGAACACTAGAATGTTTTATTTATGTGCTGATTTGTCATGTGCCCGATTTTCAAGTACTGCAACTTCACAATAAGCTACAAAAAGTCGACATGTCTTGCCTCGCCCGTCACCTCGACATATTTTCGGGCTGACATGAACCTGTAGCTTTGATTATATATGCAGCATACATATTTATATGTTCATATACATATCATCTTCGGACAAATGGCAGTATATTGTCAAAATAATGTAAAATTAATAAAAACACCCTACTTTCGGTTTTGCAGCGGCACGGGCTGTAATATTTACATAAAAAGTAAGAAATATTACATACATACTTTGTTGGAATAAGTGAACTTTTTATTTGGAAATTATAAAATGATACTGGTTCCGTAAGTAATAAAACATTTTTACTGTTATTTTGCCTGTTTTCATTTCAATGAACCTCTTTTTTTTAATTCTATGCCGTAGTGACGATATACATATGTGCGTGTACGGAAAAACATGATGCATAAATATTGATTAGTAGGAGTAAACTTCAAGATCTCTGCACATGCGTATATTTCACTTTAGCGCTCTTCGAAACTTAGCTCCGCCCACTTTGCGTTTTATAATATAAAACGTCCAGTTTATATAAAATCTGTTCTATTAAGATTTGAAACCTGAAAAATTTGAAAAATCCTCGTCGGTGATTGGCTTAAAAAAATTGGCGAGCACTAAGTATAGGTTAGAGTGCATATTGGGTGGTTTTCGTAAATAAGAAAGCTAAAAAGGAGCGGAGCTTGCGAAGCGACTGTAGCTTTCTTATTTACGAAGAACATCCAATATGCACTCTAACCGGCTTAGTGCTCCGCCCATTTTTTTCCGCCCAACACAATTCGTGACGTCACACGATAGCCTAAATGTGTATAACCATATTTGGAAGAGGTAGCGGTACACATTTTCGGGTCACGTGTTTTGCATAGCTTATTCCCGCATTCTGTCTATGTAAATCAGACAATATTACGGTGCATATCCATATCGGTACCCTCTTTGCGAATTATTCTCAAACGGTACCCTCTTTGAACATACACAGGTCATTCTCTGCTAAAAACAAACCAGCGATGGATAACAATGCAGTAAAAATTCATTGTAATAAGGAAAGGAAGTATGACACGTAGAAAAGATGTAGCGTATACCACGGAACACTAGAATGTTTTATTTATGTGCTGATTTGTCATGTGCCCGATTTTCATGTACTGCAACTTCACAATAAGCTTCAAAAAGTCGACATGTCTTGCCTCGCCCGTCACCTCGACATATTTTTCGGGCTGAAATGAACCTGTATCTTGATTATATATGCATCATACATATTTATTATGTTCATATACATATCATCTTCGGACAAATGGCAGTATATTGTCAAAAATAAATGTAAAATTAATAAAAACACCCTACTTTCGGTTTTGCAGCGGCACGGGCTGTAATATTTACATAAAAAGTAAGAAATATTACATACATACTTTGTTGGAATAAGTGAACTTTTTATTTGGAAATTATAAAATGATACTGGTTCCGTAAGTAATAAAACATTTTTACTGTTATTTTGCCTGTTTTCATTTCAATGAACCTCTTTTTTTAATTCTATGCCGTAGTGACGATATACATGTGCGTGTACGGAAAAAACATGATGCATAAATATTGATTAGTAGGAGTAAACTTCAAGATCTCTGCACATGCGTATATTTCACTTTAGCGCTCTTCGAAACTTAGCTCCGCCCACTTGCGTTTTATAATATAAAACGTCCAGTTTATATAAAATCTGTTCTATTAAGATTTGAAACCTGAAAATTTGAAAAATCCTCGTCGGTGATTGGCTTAAAAAAATTGGCGAGCACTAAGTATAGGTTAGAGTGCATATTGGTGTTCTTCGTAAATAAGAAAGCTAAAAAGGAGCGGAGCTTGCGAAGCGACTGTAGCTTTCTTATTTACGAAGAACATCCAATATGCACTCTAACCGGCTTAGTGCTCCGCCTATTTTTTTCCGCCCAACACACTGCGTGACGTCACACGATAGCCTAAATGTGTATAACCATATTTGGAAGAGGTAGCGGTACACATTTTCGGGTCACGTGTTTTGCATAGCTTATTCCCGCATTCTGTCTAGATAAAAAAGACAATATCACGATGCATATCCATATCGGTACCTCTTTGCGAAATATTCTCAAACGGTACCCTCTTTGAAACATACACAGGTCATTCTCTGCTAAAAACAAACCAGCGATGGATAACAATGCAGTAAAAAAATTCATTGTAATAAGGAAAGGAGGTATGACACGTAGAAAAGATGTATACCACGGAACACTAGAATGTTTTATTTATGTGCTGATTTGTCATGTGCCCGATTTTCATGATCTGCAACTTCACAATATTAAGCTACAAAAAGTCGACATGTCTTGCCTCGCCCGTCACCTCGACATATTTTTCGGGCTGAAATGAACCTGTAGCTTGATTATATATGCATCATACATATTTATTATGTTCATATACATATCATCTTCGGACAAATGGCAGTATATTGTCAAAAATAAATGTAAAATTAATAAAAACACCCTACTTTCGGTTTTGCAGCGGCACGGGCTGTAATATTTACATAAAAAGTAAGAAATATTACATACATACTTTGTTGGAATAAGTGAACTTTTTATTTGGAAATTATAAAATGATACTGGTTCCGTAAGTAATAAAACATTTTTACTGTTATTTTGCCTGTTTTCATTTCAATGAACCTCTTTTTTTAATTCTATGCCGTAGTGACGATATACATGTGCGTGTACGGAAAAACATGATGCATAAATATTGATTAGTAGGAGTAAACTTCAAGATCTCTGCACATGCGTATATTTCACTTTAGCGCTCTTCGAAACTTAGCTCCGCCCACTTGCGTTTTATAATATAAAACGTCCAGTTTATATAAAATCTGTTCTATTAAGATTTGAAACCTGAAAATTTGAAAAATCCTCGTCGGTGATTGGCTTAAAAAAATTGGCGAGCACTAAGTAAAGGTTAGAGTGCATATTGGGTGTTTTTCGTAAATAAGAAAGCTAAAAAGGAGCGGAGCTTGCGAAGCGACTGTAGCTTTCTTATTTACGAAGAACATCCAAAATGCACTCTAACCGGCTTAGTGCTCCGCCCATTTTTTACCGCCCAACACACTGCGTGACGTCACACGATAGCCTAAATGTGTATAACCATATTTGGAAGAGGTAGCGGTACACATTTTCGGGTCACGTGTTTTGCATAGCTTATTCCCGCATTCTGTCTAGGTAAATCAGACAATATCACGGTGCATATCCATATCGGTACCCTCTTTGCGAAATATTCTCAAACGGTACCCTCTTTGAACATACACAGGTCATTCTCTGCTAAAAACAAATCAGCGATGGATAACAATGCAGTAAAAATTCATTGTAATAAGAAAAGGAGGTATGACCACGGAACACTAGAATGTTTTATTTATGTGCTGATTTGTCATGTGCCCGATTTTCAAGTACTGCAACTTCACAATAAGCTACAAAAAGTCGACATGTCTTGCCTCGCCCGTCACCTCGACATATTTTTCGGGCTGACATGAACCTGTAGCTTGATTATATATGCAGCATACATATTTATATGTTCATATACATATCATCTTCGGACAAATGGCAGTATATTGTCAAAAATAAATGTAAAATTAATAAAAACACCCTACTTTCGGTTTTGCAGCGGCACGGGCTGTAATATTTACATAAAAAGTAAGAAATATTACATACATACTTTGTTGGAATAAGTGAACTTTTTATTTGGAAATTATAAAATGATACTGGTTCCGTAAGTAATAAAACATTTTTACTGTTATTTTGCCTGTTTTCATTTCAATGAACCTCTTTTTTTAATTCTATGCCGTAGTGACGATATACATGTGCGTGTACGGAAAAACATGATGCATAAATATTGATTAGGAGGAGTAAACTTCAAGATCTCTGCACATGCGTATATTTCACTTTAGCGCTCTTCGAAACTTAGCTCCGCCCACTTGCGTTTTATAATATAAAACGTCCAGTTTATATAAAATCTGTTCTATTAAGATTTGAAACCTGAAAATTTGAAAAATCCTCGTCGGTGATTGGCTTAAAAAAATTGGCGAGCACTAAGTATAGGTTAGAGTGCATATTGGGTGTTCTTCGTAAATAAGAAAGCTAAAAAGGAGCGGAGCTTGCGAAGCGACTGTAGCTTTCTTATTTACGAAGAACATCCAATATGCACTCTAACCGGCTTAGTGCTCCGCCCATTTTTTACCGCCCAACACACTGCGTGACGTCACACGATAGCCTAAATGTGTATAACCATATTTGGAAGAGGTAGCGGTACACATTTTCGGGTCACGTGTTTTGCATAGCTTATTCCCGCATTCTGTCTAGGTAAATCAGACAATATCACGGTGCATATCCATATCGGTACCCTCTTTGCGAAATATTCTCAAACGGTACCCTCTTTGAACATACACAGGTCATTCTCTGCTAAAAACAAATCAGCGATGGATAACAATGCAGTAAAAATTCATTGTAATAAGAAAAGGAGGTATGACCACGGAACACTAGAATGTTTTATTTATGTGCTGATTTGTCATGTGCCCGATTTTCAAGTACTGCAACTTCACAATAAGCTACAAAAAGTCGACATGTCTTGCCTCGCCCGTCACCTCGACATATTTTTTCGGGCTGACATGAACCTGTAGCTTGATTATATATGCAGCATACATATTTATATGTTCATATACATATCATCTTCGGACAAATGGCAGTATATTGTCAAAAATAAATGTAAAATTAATAAAAACACCCTACTTTCGGTTTTGCAGCGGCACGGGCTGTAATATTTACATAAAAAGTAAGAAATATTACATACATACTTTGTTGGAATAAGTGAACTTTTTATTTGGAAATTATAAAATGATAGTGGTTCCGTAAGTAATAAAACATTTTTACTGTTATTTTGCCTGTTTTCATTTCAATGAACCTCTTTTTTTAATTCTATGCCGTAGTGACGATATACATGTGCGTGTACGGAAAAACATGATGCATAAATATTGATTAGTAGGAGTAAACTTCAAGATCTCTGCACATGCGTATATTTCACTTTAGCGCTCTTCGAAACTTAGCTCCGCCCACTTGCGTTTTATAATATAAAACGTCCAGTTTATATAAAGTCTGTTCTATTAAGATTTGAAACCTGAAAATTTGAAAAATCCTCGTCGGTGATTGGCTTAAAAAAATTGGCGAGCACTAAATAGTAAGTATGATGATAACCCTATATGTTACATCTTGATGTTTGGTGTGAAAATGTTGAAGCTGAATAGAGGATACCATGCTAGTGTCTGATATATTATAACACACATTTTCAGACAAGACATAAAAACATAAACGGAGCCGAAGCACTACCATGAGTGTTCCGGTTTATTTTTTTTATTTGTTGTTGTTTTGTGATAAATGTGGGGAAGTTTATGAAACTACGAACTTTTATGACATTCTATTTGTAGAGTTGTAATGTTCTTAGTTCAAAGTATAGCGTTAATTCAGACTAAGGTCTGTCCCGTCCGTTCCTAAACGTGCAATGATACGTGCAAATTCCGAGCTAATAAAAGAAAAGAAAAGATAAATATTTAGTTTGAGAGTAAGTAAAACCAATAAATTTTCCATATCTTAACACCACTTCGTTTTGCCGTTGAAATCTAATGATGTATCTTTGTTATTTCAGGAGGGAAGAACGGCATTACACCTAGCAGCTGAAGCCGGCCATTTTGAAACAGTCGAGGTGTTAGCAGATTTTAATGCAGGCCCTAATGCCGAGACTATAGTAGGTATTATTCATTACCAGGCAGTCATGCATATAAGTTTTGTCATTCACCTACTTTTCGCACGCTGTCGTGGTTTATCCGAATAGACGCGACTTTAAAGGGGACTAGTCAGAATTTTCAAGTTTAGGTCTGTCTACTCGTTGGTCGAGGCTTTAATCGTAGTAAGCCCAACAAAATGTTTTAAAAAATATCTTTTTCTTGTATAATAATCGCTTTAATATGTGTGTCTGAATGAAATGAAAATAAAAAAGCGTAAATAATTTATTATTGTGTACACAATTTAAGTTGTTTTACATATACAGAAAGAGATAACACCTCTGCATTGTGCTGCGAGTAAAGGTCATACAGAAGTTTGTATGAGATTAATTGAACTTGGTGCTAACATCAACTCTCAAAATCATGTAAGTTTCTATAGTCCTATATATATGCTGTACTAACTGTTATTGCTGGTAGCAATAAACATAAACATTTTACATGTATAATGCATTTGTAAATTCTTTAATGCTTTAATATTTTTGCGCATTGAAGGTATTTAGTTTAAAAATATTATCTACTTAAGCTTGAACTCACGATCCATAGTTTTAATGGCAGACACGATCACCACTAGGCCCAGTGAATCGGTAAATGTCGACAAATGTCGGTTAAGACCGTAAAAGCACAGAAGCCTCGACAGTTTTTGTATACAATGTACCTATTTTAAGTATATTTATGTCACGTGGGAGAATGACGTCATTATTTTTGGAAAATACCAATATGGCGGCTTGCATGCTCTGTAAGCCTTATATTCTATTGAGAAAATACATTTCTTTAACACAGTAGGCAAGGAAACATAAGTGAATATTTGCATTTTGTAGTTAAAGGGACTTCACTGAGGTTTATTGACATGAAGAGACAGGAGTAATTTTTCTAAATATTTTATAGCCATATGATGTAGCTCTACCATGTTAACGCGTTTCACTAAAATCGGGTCAAAAATAGCACAAACAATACGACTTTAAATTTACTTCTGAGTTTATTTCCGAATTAAATTAAGCATATCTTTCTGTTTTAAGTACTCCAGTTGATTTATGCAAAAAATTCATTTTTTATGTTTTTTTTACCTTTGAACTTCAGGTGAGTTCCTTTAAAGTAACAGGTTTAAATTTCCAATTATTTCAGCAAGGTAACACAGCATTACATCTAGCAGTGATGGGTAACTTTCATGATCTCACTCAGGCTCTTGTTGATGCCAAAGCTGAGATAGACCTTCCTAACCTGGTAACTTAACTTTTTATAATACTGCACGCTTGTAACGTCGCTTTTCACTGGATAACCGTGACGTTTATATAGTTTTGTATACACCACCGTAGGGAACGTGTTTACAGTATCGCGTTTTTCGGTTACAGTATAGAATTTTCAAGATGGAGGATTATTTTTGGGAAGAGATGTAGGTGATTTTTATTCAGGTCCATACTACTAGTAGTTTAGTTTCTAAAAGATGTTTTTGTGCTTTGCTTGTAAGAAACAGAATCCGGTATCTAGTCATATATTTCTTCAGACCCTGCACCGCAGATTTATCTCTATATTGTCTCATAAATGTGCAGATTTGACAGTTTGAAAATTTGAATCGAGAGACCAACGCATTTTTCCCCATTCCGACATTATTTAAGCATGCCTAGATAAAGTAAATCTACAAAACGATTGTTCTTTGTGTTTAGAAACGTTTATAAAAGTAAATGACCAGTTGAACCTATTTTCCTGTTGGAAAAATGCGTTTGAAAAAATAAACAATGTTACAGTATAGAGCGAGGTTAATTTTGAAGGGTTACAGCATAGACCTAGCGACTTTGATACAATTTTGTTACAGTTTATACCCAGATTTCGGTTGCAGTTCAGATACTTGCCAAATTTCAAACAAAGTTCGTGTATCCATTATTTTTATGAAATAACTCATACCTTTCTATTTAATACATTCTTGAAAGGTTGTATTACTTTTTTTCTTCAGCAGAATAGTTATAGTTTGCTATTTTTCTTACTTGAGACTTTTTGCAGAATAAGTAATGTCTTATATAAAGGACTGTTTTCATGACAACAACAGTAACTTTTTCATGACAACAACAGTAACTTTTATCAAATTGTATTGAGAGAAGAAAGATTATTGCTTGATTTCATTACACATTATAATAATGCCTATTAGTAATAAAATAGAGAAAAAAAAAGAATCCTTAACAGAAGTCCAACACGGAAAACATGAAAATGTTGCAGGATCAGTTTGATTTAACCTGTTCATGGACGGTAGTGGTAACTGCAAGCTACCGTCCACGCCTCCTAGCACCGGCTACAGCAGAATTCACATTAAACATGAACTGATACACTTTAGATTTTTTAACATCTGAGGATGTGTTCATATGGCGGTTATCATGGAACCTTCAATGTGACACGTTATTGCCATTCTATGAAAAGCAGCATATTACCCCCAGGTTAATAATTTCGTGTGCCCTAAACGAGAATACAATGAGTGAAACTAAATAATATGAAATTTTGAGAGGGGATCGCAGGTTATGAATCCTGCATACCATAGATAAGCTGTCAAAAGACACAATTAACAGGCAATACCCTAAGAATGATTGAACAGTATTTAAGTGAGCAATATTTCAACCTTAAATGTTATTTTAAGCTGGAATTTCCATCTACCATAATGTATTTTGTAAGTATTTAAAACAAGTATGTAAAAGGGTTTGTTACGTTTGGCTTTCTTGGATTTTAAGCTTCAACGACACTGAGGTCATGCGAAAACAGTCCTGCTTTATTGTAAAGAAAGACCCCAGAATCCCTTTGTGAAACATTTCGGACACGAGTGGGCACGTGACTAGAACCACCGACCTTCCGTAAATTAGCTTGATAGATTCCTCACATACAAAGAATCCAAAGTCATGATGGGATTTCAACTACAGCAGTCAATGAAAGATGATTTGAAGTCGACGGCCTTATCCCGACTCTGTCACTTTTATTTACCTCCAGAGAAGATAGTGTAATTGTCTGACCTAAATTTATACTCTATAACTTTCAATATTATTTTCTTTTTCAGAAACATGAAAACTGCTATACAGAATGTCTGAAATAAGAAAAAAACGACTTTTAAATTAATAATGACAAAATAATCGTAAATTCAACAAAGAAGCATTCGAAACGACGCCATGATCATGATTTGATTTGAATGCTTTTGGTTCGAGACGAGAAGGGTCTTTTAAACATTGCCTTTTTTCAAAATCTATAATTTGAGTTTTCGTATCCCCGATTGCAACCGAAACCATTTTAACAACTGATTGGTAGAAAGTCATGTAAATTTCATCACATTTAGTCAAGTAGTTACTGAACGGATGAGATTGAACACACATGTGTACAACAGACGGACGAATAGCTATCGGGCCAAAGCTCACAGAGATTTAAAAGTCTACGTAACATTAATACATTTTACCTAGTATATATAGAAAATTTCGAAGTCTAAACTGTAACCGAAATCTGTGTATAAACTGTAACAAAATCGGATAAACATCGCTAGGTCTATGCTGTAACCCTACACAAATCACCTCGCTCTATACTGTAACATTGTTAATTTTTTCAAACGCATTTAACGAACAGGAAAATAGGTTCAACTGGTCATTTACTTTTATAAACGTTTCCCAACATAAAGGACTAACGTTTTGCAGATTTACTTTTTCTAGGCATGCATAAATAATGTCGAAATTGGAGAAAAATGCGTTGGTCTCTCGATTCAAATTTTCAAACTGTCAAATCTGCATATTTATGAGACAATAAAACGATAAATCAGGGGTGCAAAGTCTGAAGAAATATATAACTAGATACCGGATTCTGTTCCTTACAAGCAAAGCACAAAATATCTTTTAGAAACTAAACTACTTGTAGTATGGACCGGAATAAAAATCACCTACCTGTCCTCCCAACAAAAAATCCTCCATCTTTAAAATTCTATACTGTAACCGAAAAAGGCGATACTGTAACACGTTCCCTACGGTGTACACGGCTGCTGTCAATTTATGAAGAAATCTCACTTTTCTTTTCATAAATAGAAGTTTGCTGTATTATAAATTCGTTATAAATATTCCTGTCAGGTTTCAGGACTGTATATAAACGTTTGCTATATAATCTTCGCCTAGCAGCTCGGGTTATATTTACAAACAATCGTTTATATAGGGGCATATAACCTGTCAAAAATCTTTATAACTAATTATATAAAGGAAATTTAAGTTTTTTTTCGATAAATACATGATTTTGTTTCATCGAGTGGTATGAAAATAAATATTTCACGAGTGGCAGTAGCCACGAGTGAAATATGATAATTTTCATACTACAAGATGAAAATAAATTCCGTATTTATAAAACAGAAATTCAATTTTCTGTTCATTATATACTTTTAAGTATTAAATAAAATGATATACTATAGTTCATATCATTCGTATTTCATTCATTCATTCATTGCTTATGAAATAAACCGCAATAACATATTGGTTTATGGGTATATTAAATATATCTTACTTTAAAATGATATTTTTCACTGTGTAAAGATATTGAAAACATGGAAGGTTAATCTCAAACATATTGAAATGTTATTTCTCTTATGTAGCGGTTACAGACGCCATTACATGTAGCTGTTGAAAATGGCTTCCAAGATGTCGTAGAAGTTTTATTAGTAGGGAACGCTAGTCTAAGTGCGCGGGAAAAGGTAAGGATAAAATCCGTGCCCACGATCCATTTTTTTAACATTCTATCCACAAAAATGAAATAAACTTTTCACAAAATGCATTATTACATATACGGTACAACAGAGAGATGTGTTATAGTGCGTTCAATGCAAATGTCTGAATATTTAGTGACTGCGTGGAAACGGATGACTGTGATATCATAAGAAAAGAAATGACATGTACAAAACTAAAAATTGGAAAATACAAGGATGATTTTAACAAATAAGGCATTAACCATGTGAACATATATGCGTATGTTTTGTTGTAGGATACATTTATAAGTTGCTTTTTTTTCTTGTTACGCTATTACCCAGTATTGAAAAGTTCGTTGAATGACATTTAGCCTTGTTCAGATTACACAACATATCATTAGTAGGAGTACAAATGAAAATAGTATGTTTGCATTCACATGTATACTATTTGCTACTATAGCCGCTTTAATATACTTATTCAGATGTTCATTCATCAAATAAGTTCGTATGAATTCGGCAATCTTCGTCACAATGTCGAGATTTCAAGTCTCGTGTTACCCTATTGAGCTATGGAGGCTGGCTCGTATGAATGTTGTACATGTATTGTATTCTATTTATAACAATATTTCAGTCTGGTAAGACGGCCCTCCACCTGGCGGCACGCGGAAGTTTTGTCACAATTGTAGATATGATCATTAAAGCGGAACGATATTTCTCCTTAAACAGGGTAATGTTATTTATTTGTATTTCATAGCAGTGAAGAATATATAAAATAACAGAAAATGACTCTCATGAATAAAATACTTTCAGTACACGACCTGTAGATTATAGTAAACGCGAGGCCAAATCTTAACTCATACTCACTATGAACCCAGAGGTCGTTAGTTCGAATTGCATGTTACTTCCATTACATAATTTCGTCTATTCTTTAGGACGAATTTCTGAACCAAATTTATTGTAGGTGATTCTCGCTTATATAATTATATAAAAAAAGTTCTAAAAGCAGAGTAATGCTTAGTAATGCAAAGGTATCCTTATTAGGTAGTTGAAAATATTTAGCAATAGTGAAAAATATGTGCTATTTTAATTCAATAGGATGAAAGTTTATAAAATATTGCTGTTCGAACATGAATTAACAGTCAATCTTATAACATTTGTATTATGAAGTACAAGTAAATAGGCGTGGTCCCATTTAGTAGAGGGTATTTCTAAAGTTCTAGTTTTGATATTTTAGAATTAATTTTATGAGTTAAGGAGAATATTAACTGAACTCTCCCTATTTGAAAGCGTTATTCGGTATCAAACCGATGTCATCTGCTTTATTTCTTTCCCCGCTATACGTTTTTGACTAAAAGTAGGCACGTGGGACTGATCTATAATTGATAGCTGACTGTAGATAATCAACGCCACTGTATGCCTATTAACGTCTGCGGCAAGGTGTATATGGGCGACTCACTCCAGAATACTGTTAGTGATTGTAATGTGTCAAGGAGTCCAGTTCCAGTGAATACTAACATTAGTTCATTCTTGAAGAAAGAAAACTGGTTTTTCAATGCAAATTAAGCCTCCGAAATAAAAGTGGTTTTATGACTTCCATACAAAACACCAAATCATGACGTTTAACTGTAATACATTACCAGAACACATAAGAAGAAGCAAAAGATGGCTTAGCTATATGGCCAATTAGTTTTTATATCATACATGTATTATATAATTTTTTAATTGTTTGGTTTGTTTGTTTGCTTGGTTTTACAGCGCACCAAAACAGTAAAGGTCATATGGCGCCGAAACAGGAAAGCTGGTTTTGGCTAACCCGGGGTGTTACGAAATTTAAAGCAACACCAGGGGTCAAAACTATCTCACCTGGTGGAGCTAAGAGATGCAGTATTCGAACTCTTTTAGCCGCCTCTTACAGTCACACAGGGATAAACAGTGGCTGCAATTCTTATGCTCCTACCATTAAAGGCAACTCCTCAGCCACAAGGGTCACGCATTTACTTACATGAGTGCAGTGGTTACGATCTTTGTTTTGTAATTTTTGACTGTCCATTGTTCATATTGAGTGATTTTAAGATCAAAATACTAAAACTGAGCACTCTATTGATAGATTGCGACAACTGCCACAGACTCACGCTTACATTCATTTCCTGCAAGCGTCCAGTATTTTATATCTTCAACTATAAGCACCTACATACATACTGTGAAGAATTTATAGAATCGTTGAATTATTCATTTTTCTATAATTATCCATGGAAGATCGTTGTGATTAATTTTGAAGGAGTTCCTCTGTGTTATCGGTCTATGTTATTGTGACACATAAACTCTATAAGGATTTTAATAATTCACCGGTTACAAATTAGTTATTCGGCGGTTTGTTTTTAACTTAATGGGGAAGAGGCCTCAGCCTCTTTATTTTAGGGAAAGTTATCGCTAAAATTGCTAATTTGGGAAGTAAAAAAGATTTTTGGGAACTATGTATGATTTTAAAGAAAATTCCGATGGGGGGATTTAAATAGGCCTCTTTTATATAAGGTGAACAATCACTGGTATTTGGATGTGTCTCTATGAATATCAGGTGTAAAAAACGCAATTCTCCCCTTGACCTTTGCAGGAATACCACGAAAATGATTTAGACTACGTCGACCCGCAAAGGTACTTACGGCAACCAAATCACCCCTCGTGGCCTCAAATGAAAGAAGTCATGTGGACTCTAGCAACAAAACATTTCAAACCGAGTGATTGGAAGAGACTGGCAATGTACTGGAAGTTCACACCTGATCATATAAGATGTATTGAACACCAGTATACAGGTAAAGCATTCAGAAAAATAGGATTTATTTATCAGCCGGATCCTAATAGGCATGCATGCGGGTCGCCATATTGGTATTTTCTCAAATAGTGACGTCATGGTCGAAAACGCCCTCTCACAATAAATTTACGGCAACTACCGAAAGATGGCAAGAACTGCTTCGGTTTTATTACGATATTACCCAGTATAAACGATGTTTACCGATTCATTAGGTTCTTATTATTCGGAACACCTCGATAATTATTCATAATATAACGCAACCGTTCTGTACTGTTGTGTCCGAGGTCCTTATCCGGAGATTAACGGCGGCGGCCGAAAAGTTGCGATTGGGTTCGTTATCTTGAAACAAATTGCAATAGTTTTGTATATGATCAAGTGGAGGAGTATAGGTAGAAAATTAAAAATATGTAATATATCTTATTTGTAGGTACATCTAGTCACAAGGAACACGGGTATCGTTTGTTAATGATCTGGTTACACGGAATACGGAAAGATGAAAATGTGACAAAATTATTGTTCGAGGGACTTGTTGCCATAGACCGACGTGCATTAGCAGGTATCTTAATATTAGCATATTTTCTAAATTATGCTATTTAAATAACTTATATGGCACTTTAAAATTGATATTTAAATTGTAAAACTGTAAGGGCACGTGATGCCCGAGAAATCAATAATTGTTTAATTAACAATGCTTTTGTAATTTATTTAGCACATAACTGAAAAATGTAGAACCAGATAGTAAAGGAAGCAAATGTAAACAATGTAGTCTATTTGGCTTCCATACAAAATCCAAAATCACTATACCAATTGGCAAAGAGGAATTGAAGTCAACGATAGTTCATCTTTGCATGGTTAATAAATAACTTTTGGGACATTGTAATATGGTATCAAAAATAAAAAAGTTTTTTGAGAAATAAAATGATAGCTGTTCAGGGGCTTAATGGGACTTTAATGTGAAAATAACACGAAATCACTGCTCTCTATACATTTACATTTACTGGGTAAACTGTTCTGCAAAGGTACCTTAAAATCATTGCAATGTGAACTTGTCCATTCACCTATAGACCGCCTTTCCTCACCTGATTTCTGATTTCAGCGGTGATTGACAAATGCCCATAAGACTCAATGCTCGAAATCGATTGTCCAAGTATTTTATATGCTAGAAAACATTACTATTTGTATTTTTCAGAGCAAATACGGCGTCAATCTAATTGTGAGCCGGAGAAACCGTGTATACAAATGTTATGTGGTATCATCTGACGGCGGTTTTATCCGACATTGGACGAAGTGCCGGTGTAAACACCACAACGACCGGAGAGACTCGGCGCTGATAGACGCTTTATGTCACAAAACCAATCCGTGTCCCTTTTGGAGGGAAAATGAAGATGGACGCTTTGGAACGCTTTGCCTATTATTAAAAGCTTTGTCAAACAAAAGCATTTACAAATATGTACAAAAGGTGCTTACGAGGAAATGACCTTGGCGCTGGAGGGTCAAACTGTGTGATATCCGACTATATATCAAAGACGCAGAGGGAGGTTTTTGTATTGAGACTTTAGTTTCAAAAACAGCATTATATTTTGTACAAGAATTTTAGACGTTCTTGTTTTTACGTTTGCTGGATTTATATTATCCAAGCCTGGTACCAGTTTGTTGCGGATATATAAAAATATACTAAAAAAATGGGACCCAGTATGCGTCTAGCACATAATGTGAAATAAGTGCCGAGTTTGTTGATATTAAGGGGATAGGAGAATATTAGCTATGAATTATTTGAAATATGGACAATATTTGTCCGCTGTTTGGAAGAACATCTGGCTTTATTGTGTTCACAGAATATGACATTGTTATCATATTGTAATTTTTGTATAAAATACAAAACAATATCCATTTAAAACTTATCTTAAAATATTTCCATGCATTTAACTACATGTCTAAAACATGTAAAAAGTCCGTATACATATATCTAACTAACCACTGTCAGAACTTTCATATGTATCTTTTAATGTTTTTGTTTAAAATCCACAACTGTACAGTTTCATTATTAATGTACTGGGGCAGTGAAAATTTAAGCGGATTTTGACAACATTAAAACTGAAAAAGGAGCAACAACACATTGCGCCTATATTTCAAAGCGGATTAATCTACAATGGGCACATTTTCCAAATTTTTATAGTTATTTCAAATGTTAATCTAAACAATGGAAATGTACCACTTGGATATTCTTATAAAACATTTCTTGAGATAAAAATGTCTATAGAAGAAGAAAATTATATTATCTGGTTATATAAATATGAGTAATATGGGATCAGGCATCCAACACTTGCCAACAATATCATGTATAATTCTTTTGTGAAATTTTGTCATATGTATGATCTATTTAAAGAAACATTCAAGATTTTGGATAATGTACGTTTGATTTGAATATGAAATATATGAAATGAGAAAGTGGGGTGGGGGTATTGCGCTAGTATTGCCGGTGAAATTTAAAATAAAAATGAAATCAAATGTTTCATGTTAATGATAAGTTAATTTTTTTTTTTTAATTTTTTAAGTTTCCAAAATGAAAAATATACATGTGAATGGTACATATTATACACACTGCTCAATTTGAATTAATATCGGAGAAATAAGGGGAGGTAATACTGATGAATCTTCTATTATTAATGAATTATTTGAAATGTCTAGGATAAATGTCAAACAAAAATAATGTAATTTTAACATATCTGTAAAAAGTGACAAAACAAAATGATCGCTAAATAAGCAAACAAAACTACTACATGTATATGCGGATTTGTACACAATTTTCATGCAGGATACCGTTATAATCCTAACCACCCTTAATATAAAAATGCAAAAAGGGGACAGTGCAGACAAGAATCAGACGGCACAGATATGCCAACCGACCTTGGTCTGCACTGATTGACCTTGCTCTGCACTGGCTGACCTTGGTCTGCACTGATTGACCTTGCTCTGCACTGGTTGACCTTGGTCACGGCAGATTCACTCACCGCAAGCAGGCTAAATGATAAACAATAGAAAAAAACAAGATCCTAACGGAAATCCTGCTTGGTAAACACCAAAGGGCAAAGACAACATAATAAAATACAAGAAACAATTTAGTTTAAATGAAAGGGGGGGGTAAATTGAATACAATATCTTTGTTTATTTATCAACTAAATTGAAATAACGAGAGCCATATATTTTATATATTATAAGGAAAAATAAGCATTTCCCTATTATAGATTTCAGTTGCAAAATGTAACAAGACCAAGTACAAGTTTTGCATAAAAAACAGAGGTCGTACTGAACACACAGTGCCCGAAAGTAAGGATGGACCCTCATTAAGCAAAGAATACACACACGCGCGCATTAAAATTAGCTAGGAAATAAATAAAACGTGCAGAAAACAATTTAGTAAACGCCTTAATTATCATGTCTAACCGATATTAATACCAAAAATAGTCCCTATATAGCACAAGAAAAGCTATATTGGCTAGGGCCTATTTTTGGTCGTACTCTCAGTGGCTGGTAAGGGCGGATGGGCCCTCATTAAGCATAGAACACACAAACATAACATGGTGCAATTGTTTATAAAGGTTTTTTGATAGAATTTCAAGTTTTTATAAAAATACAAAGCAGAAAGGAGGAATATTTAGTTTCTTTTATCGAAAAAAATAGGCTAAATTCCGCAAGGTGGCTGTATTTATGGTTCATATAAACTTAATACCTATTTCTTCTGTACAGATAATGTTTAATTGATTTATCAAGATAACATTTAGCTATATTGAATGTGAAAATTACAGATTAATTTTGTCGTTTGTTAACTTCTTCTTATTGTTTTTGTTCATTATTTAATTACCTGTTTTTGAATGTGGAGTATATTATTGTGTACAGTTTTTTATATTTATATTTTTCATCTTCAAAAAATAATAAAATCAAATATTCATGAATTGGTTGTTTCCTTTAATTATAACTAATTTGTACCAATAGACATTGTATGATATTTTAAGCTACAGTCTCACTTACATCCCGGCAGAGCCCCGGCAGAGCCCCGGTAGACGTCCGGGGTGATCCGGGAACGACCGGGGTACGACCGGGAACAACCGGAGTACATCCGTAACTCTGCCGGCAACGTCCTGGATGATCCGGGATGATCCGGGAACATCCGGCATTCGATCCCGGATGGAATAAAATATTTAATATCACCGGGATGGTCCGGGATGATCCGGGAAGGTATAGCTTTGCCGGCTTCATCCTTAGCTCTGCCGGGAACGACCGGGGTTATACCGGGGAAGCACCGTAGCTCTGCCGGCACAAACCGGGGATGATCCGGGGTATGATATAGCCGGTAGAGCTACGGTAGAGCTACGGTAGAGCCCCGGAAAATGCCGGCAGAGCCCCGGCAACTACAGGCAGAGCCCCGGATGATAAAGGTAGAGTTACGGTTGATCCCGGTAGAGCCCCGGCAAAGCCCGGATCATTTCAAAAGAATAACGACAATTTGCGATGATTGCACTTGCTGGTATTAAAACCCCTCTCATTTCCCTTCTATCCAGTATGGCATCAGGATTTTTCAGAAAATCATCATGAATAACTATTCTGGTACAATAGATATTATATTAAATAAAAATTATGTATCAATGTTATCATTTTCGGGCGTTTTCAATCCACCGGGGTTCTACCGGGGCTCTGCCTGGATCGTCCTGGGCTCTGCCTGGATCGACCGGGGCTCTGCCTGGGTCAACCGGGGCTCTTCCGGCGTCATCCGGGAAACGACCGGGGAAGCACCGGCATGAACCGTAGCTGCACCTGGGC